GTTAACTGAATTCAAATTTCCATCCAAATGCAGCTTGACGCAAATCACAAGTAAAAAAAAAAAATTTAGTAAATAAGAAATGTGTAATTCACCATTTTCTAACGCAAAAAAGTTGCAAAGTCAAGTGCTCAAAAGTTATGAAAAGCCAAAATTAAGGTTGCTTGTGCAACCTTGATTCAGCCCCCCCTTGTGTGTATGCATTATGAGAATCTTTAATTACATGATCACAAACTGCTTTTTCCACAGGACTCCTATCTCATTCTGTGTACGTAATGGACCTGCTTTTGGGATGAATCAGGGCTGTGTAGATTAAGAGACTTATTTGTAGGATCCCAGCCTCCTTTGTTGCAGAAGTTGGAAGGTGTTTAGTGAATGAGATGGGACTGCAGGAAGAGAGAGGATGAACTCATGATTTAAAATAGTTGAATGCTTCCCTGGAAAACTGGATTCTATCCTTGCCTTGGTCACAGAGTCCCTGTGGGTATGTCTACACTGCAGTCTCCATGCCCAGGTAGATAGAGTTGCAATAGTGGGGCTTGAGCACACTAAAAATAGCAGTGTGGATGTTGCTACAGCAGCAGAGGCTCAGTCTAGTCATCCAGCTGCAGTGTAGACATACCTTATGTGATGCTAGGAAAGTCACTGAAACCAAACTTTTCACAGGTAGTCACTAATTGTGGGTGTGAGAGAGATGGCAATTTCTGCAAGATCTTTGAAAAACCTATTGAATTAAGTTTAAGTATCTTTGGAGACCATTCTATTAAATGTGCAAAACAGGGTGGATTTGATTTAAATCGTGATTTAAATCGCTAGTCAGGAAGACTCTATTTAATCATGGATTTCTACATAAAAGTGCATTCTTGTTGGTTGTTATAACCTTAATACATATTCTTCACAACTCAGAGATAGATGTATGTTTAGTTTTTAGAAGGTACACACTATGCATTTTTAAAGTGATTTATTTTGAAAACTTTTCAGATTAGTTTTACAGTTATATCAGAAAATGAATGAATGATGGTTATTTCATTTACGAAAGGTAATTGAAGCAGATATTTATGAAAGCATTGGGAAGTGAACTATCTCCAGTTCAACAAGTTAATCATTAATATTTGGAGGATTTTCTTGCCATGCTGTATTAGGAGGAGAACATCACCAGAGAGACATTTAAATTGTTGTATTTAACTAAAACAACAACATTATGTATTCTGGATTTTTTTCTTCAACAGCAAGCATATAATATTTTAACAAAACAAGCATATGAATTTTTGAATGTAGTTAAACATTCAAGTTTTTTAAAATCAGGTTTGTTTTTGTTCAAATTGTTTTTAACTAAAATAGTTAAATGAAATATTTAAAAACAACAACAACAAAAATTAAATTGACTATGTCAACCAGGTCAACATGAGAAACTTAAAATATTGGCTTCTGCAGCTAACTCAGTCGTCTTCACCTTCATTTTCCTGTTTCTTCATAATCTGGAAAAGAAAAACAAGGTTTCCTGCTTTTTCAGGTCCCAAACTATTTCTCAATTTGAAATGAATTAGTCCAAAGGAAGAAAATGTTCTTTCTATACTGGCAGAAGAAGCTACTGCTGTTAAAAGTGAGATTATCACTTCAACAGTCTCTGAATCCAAGTGCTTAAGTGACTTCCACCAGTTCACTAGTCTGACTTTCTTTAAAACATCATCAGCAAACACACAGTTCTTGAATGGTTTACCCTTAGGTCTGAAGTTTATTATAGTTGGCATTATGGAGGGATGATTTCTGGATGTCCATGTCCTAGCCAACTCCTCTTCTTCAGTAGTTAAGGTTTGGCCCTGGTACTGAGTATTGAGAATATTTGGAAGAAAATGAGCTGGAGATAGTGCTTGTCCCATTTGTTTTTTTAATGCTTGTAATTTAACTCTGTCATTGCATATTTCTCTTTTTAAGATCTCACTCAGTTCCTTCCAAATTTCAGCAATAAAACAGCTATTTCCCTGCATTTTGTTCAAGGCTACAGAAATAGGCTTCAGGGTACTCGGCATGTGTTCGACATTTCTCTTAAACCCAATGCTGAGAACTTTGGCTGTGACAGTGCCATCTGTTTTTTCATGAACTGTCATCAGATTTGGCAAGTTCTTGATCTAGTGCTCAAAACGGTCCACTACTGAGTTCCATCGTACATCTTGTGGGAGAATTAGCTTGGTTCCTCCCACTTTTTTCAGAGCAGCTGCTGCAAAGTGGTTGTTACGGAAGTAGTTTGCCATTTCAACAACATTAGCCTTTATTTCTGGAACACTGAAGTCTTTGGCTAGGAGGTGCATCAAATGAGCGCTGCAACCGTATGTTATTAGCTTGGGACTCTCTGCTAAATAATTTCTTCTCATTTTGGAGACATTTGCAGCATTGTCTGTGACCAGGCTGCGTACGAAACATTTGAATTTTTTTTCAGTTTGTTATAGCTTTTACTGCTACTTCTTGTAAGTATTCTGCTATGTGTGCATTTCCCTGATGTATCAATTTTTTCTGTAAGGAAGACATTCCCTTCTTCTGTTGTCACACAAGCACATACAACAGGATCATTGCTCTACCCATCAAGACTAAGGTACAATTTTATCCTCTAGACCTTTTACACACCGCTCAATTTCTCTTTCATACACTTTATCCAGCAATTTGCCTGCAACATCTGCTCTGTTGCGTGGACTGTATCCTGGTCTTAATGACTGAACCATATTAATGAAGTGTGGGTTCTCAATCATACAGAAAGGAAAGTTTGTTGAATAAACAAACCGGGCAATTTTTTCATCAATTACCTCTTTTTTGTAATCTGCTGGTTCTTATCACACTTAGCTATGGTTGTTTCTGGATGATGGAGGTTTTTTTTTTTTCTTTTTGCTACAGGTGATATGCTGTGGCTGTGTGACATACATGATGTGACTGAAATGCTACCATTGGCAGATAACTCTGAAACTATAGAAAATGATGGTGATCTTGAAGGTGGATAGTCTTGAGAATCCCGTATATTGAGGATGGATTCTCTTAAACAAAATAAGTCAATGCAGTTATTTAATTATTATTACTATATTGCTCATTGCATTCACTGACACTCAGTACTATTTCAAAGGTGAAATTGTACAAGGACGATCTGTCTATTTCCTCTATTTATTTTTTATCCCAACTGCATCTAAAATGATAGTACCATAGAGTAACAATTATATTTTTTGCTCAAACGTGAGAATTTAAGAATAGTCCAGAAGGAAGACAGGCAGTCCTTAAGACAGAAGTATGAAATAAAAAAGTTTACCAACCTGAAGATCCTGCATGTTCAGATATGTTCCTTTCATCATCTTCTGCACAGCTTCCTCCTGAAAAGGAACACTTCTTATGATGTTGTTTCGTTCGAGCAACCAGGCCTTGCATTTTTTTGTTGCACTGTTTGCATTTTGCACGCATGCCTGTCTTACCCACAGGTAGAGGAACTTAATTAAAATATTCCCAAACTGGGTCTCTTTTACGGCCTGCTGCCATTATAGGTTTTCCCTTCCAGTGAGAGAATGGTATGGTAGATCTCAAATCAGTGAAGGCTACACTAAGAAAGACCTCAAGACTTCTAGAATATGCTGCTCAAACAGTTTCACTTTTGTTTGTACTGCCTGTCCCTCCCTTCTCACACTTATCTCCAGCCTTCTTCTCCTTGTCCAGATCTATTTTGCCCCCAACAATCTTCTATTCATTGAACTTTTTGAAACTTTGCACTTTTAGAGAGAGGTAAGGGATTGACTCTGTGTACACAAATTTGCAGAGGGACAACAGGGTTGAGGTCTGTTATTTCTCAGCCCCCTCACCCCCCCCCCCTTATTTATATATTTGAAACCATTTTTGCTGTTAACAAGCATGTTCTCTCTGGAGACAAAAATCCACAGTTTGTGAACTGCAAAACTAAGCATCTCTGATGGTATCTTCTTGACTGAGCACTGAGTCCCGTTGCGTAGATAGAAAGATTAACCTAAATAATCTATACAGAAGCCCCTGGAACCGCATAAGATTGGGTCCCTAATTCATGAACTATTGGAACTCATTTACAAACTTTTCTTAAACATTATGTGACTATATTGTCTCATACTATAGAATCAGAATTTATAATCCCTATTCTATGATGAGATATCTTTGAGCTATAATGTATCTTAATTAAAACTATCTTTCAGATAGGTTTTTTTCCTCAAAAAGCATTTTATCAAAAAAATCCGATTTAAAGAAATCATTGATTTTTATCCACCCTGATCCCAACCAATACCACTGTAGAACAAGAGCCTAGGTTAGAGAAAAGCAGACCAAAGGAAATTTTGAGTATGGATTTCCAGCTGGGTTATGTATAGTAAGACTTCTTGGTCAAGGTACAGACCTTTTCTTAAGCACCTTATTCTATTCCAGGGCTCTCAAACTCAAATTACCACGAGGGCCACATGAGGACTAGTACATTGGCCTTTGTCCCCCCCCCCTTCACCCCACTGTCCCATTCCACCCTACCCCCTATTCCCCCCAAGGCCACCACCTCACCTTACATATGCTTCTTCTCCAGGGTCCAGGCACCTAATTAGTGGAGCCACGCCTGCACAGCTCCACTAGTTAGGTGGGTGGCCCTTCATTCTCTTGTGTGCGGCTGCCCAGGTGTGCACCTTAGAGGGAACTATCCGCGGACCACCTGAATGGAGTTCGTGGATCACCAGTGGTCCGTGGAACACAGTTTGAGAACCTCTGACATAAAAAGTGTATGTCAGAGTAAACAAGCTGAAAAAGACAGATTTTTTTCCTCTAAACGTTTTCAGTTATGGTAATCTTAGAAGTTGCTTTTAACAATAATAGGTACAACATTTTCAGATGGAAATGTGATATTTTTTTTTAAAGTTTGAATGCTTGTGCAAAGGAACCTTCATGATGTGGTATTCGTTAATCTCTTCATTGAATGATTGTGTTTCTGGTATGATCTACTTTTTTTTCTTTTCTTTTTTTTTCCCCAGATTTGGACTGAGCAACAAATTTGAAGCAGAATTCCCTTCTTCATTAACTGGAAAGGTGAGTATCTATGGATAAGACTCAATTAGAAATGTACTATAACGGCCTCTAAAACTTAGAATTTGGGTAACAAGATTTTGCTATTAGAAACGGTTGGTATTTGGGTTTCTACATATAATTGAGCTTTGCAGGAATACTCATTAATTTACATTATATTGCAGTAGTACTGGATTATTTTTCTTTCTTCACAGGTTGCACCTGAGGAATTTAAAGCCAGCATCAGCAGAGTTAACAGTTGTCTTAAGAAGAACCTTCCAGTTAATGTTCGATGGCTACTTTGTGGATGCCTTTGTTGCTGCTGTACATTAGGTTGTAGTATGTGGCCAGTTATTTGCCTCAGTAAAAGAGTAAGTTGGACTATATTATCATTTGGCATTCTCTGTTGTAAATCTGGAAATTGTGATTGGATTCATTTGTGTATTGTTTTTTTGTTAATTTTCAAAACTCTGTGTGTTAGGTCTGGTCCACGCAGAAGGAAAATGAAAAAAGGTGTGATTTAAACTTATTTAGTTATTTCAGTGCAAGTTGTGTGCAGATCAGTCTTTAATATTACAGTGGAAACTAAACAGAACCAGTTTAGTATACTTAAGCAAGTACATGCTATTTTGAATGTTTCAGGTAGCATGGCTATACGTATACATTTTTATTAGAGCTGTCAATTAATTGCAGTTAACTCACATGATTAACTCAAAAAAATTAATCGCAATTAATTGCACTTATAACAATAGAATACCAATTGAAATTTATTAAATATGTTTGGATATTTTTCTACATTTTCAATATTGATTTCAACTACAACGCAGAATACAAAGTGCACAGTGCTCACTTTATATTATTATTTTTTATTATAAATATATGCACTGTAAAATGATAAAGAAAGTAGTAGTATTTTTCAGTTCACCTCATACAGGTACTGAAGTGCAATCTCTTTATTGTGAAAGTGTAACTTACAAATGCAGATTTTTTTTTTTGGTTACATAACTGCACTCAAAAACAAAACAATAACACTTTAGAGCCTACAAGTCCACTCAGTCCTACTTCTTATTCTGCCAATCGCTAAGACAAACAAGTTAGTGTTTACATTGACGTGAGATAATGCTGCCTGCTTCTTATTTACAATGTCACCTGAAAGTGAGAACAGACATTTGCATGGCACTTTTGTAGCCAGTGTTGCAAGGTATTCACATACCAGATATGCTAAACATTTGTATGACTCTTACATGCTTTGGCCACCATTCCGGAGTACATGGTTCCATGCTGATGATGCTAGTGGAAAAAAATAATTTGTCAATTAAATTTGTGACTGCACTCCTTGGGGGGAGAATTGTATATCTCCGGCTCTGTTTTACCCGCATTCTGCATACATTTCATGTTATAGCAGCCTCGGATGATGACCCAGCACATGTTTGTTTTAAGAACACTTTCACAGCAGATTTGACGAAACTCAAAGCAGGTACCGATGTGAGATTTCTAAAAATAGCTACAGCACTCGACCCAAGGTTTAAGAATCTGAAGTGCCTTCTAGAATCTGAGAGGGACGAGGTGTGGAGTGTGCTTTTAGAAGTCTTAAAAGAGTAACACCCTGATGTGGAAATTACAGAACCCAAACCACCAAAAAAGAAAATCAACCTTCTGCTGGTGGCATCCGACTCAGATGATGAAAATAAACATATGTCAATCCGCACTGCTTTGAATCGTTATCAAGCAGAATCCATCATCAGCATGGAAGTATGTCCTCTGGAATGGTGGGTGAAGCATGAAGGGACATATGAATCTTTAGCGCATCTGACACGTAAATATCCAGCTACAACAGTGCCATGAGAATGCCTGTTCTCGCTTTCAGGTGATATTGTAAACAAGAAGCAGTCAGCATTATCTCCTGCAAATTGTACCCAACCTTGTTTGTCTGAGTGATTGGCTGACCAAGAAGTAGGACTGTGTGGACTTGTAGGCTCTAAAGTTTTACATTGTTTTATTTTTGAATGCAGATTTTTTTGTATATAATTCTACATTTGTAAGTTCAACTTTCATGATAAAGAGATTGCACTACAGTACTTGTATGAGGTGAATTGAAAAATAATTTTTTTTGTTTTTTACAGTGCAAATATTTGTAATAAAAATATAAAGTGAGCACTGTACACTTTGTATTGTGTTATAATTGAAATTAATATATTTGAAAATGTAGTAAACATCAAAAAATATTTTAAAATAAATGGTATTCTGTTGTTGTTTAACAGCGTGATTAACTGCGATTAATTTTTTTTAATCGCACGATTAATCGCGATTAATTTTTTTAATCTCTTGACAGCCCGAATTTTTATACATACAAGAATAATAATTTTACTTCAGAAAATAATTTTCAACAATACAAATAAATACAAGAACTTCTGTTACTTCAGCTTTTCCATAATATCCTGTTTGTTCTTGTCAAAATATTAGACAGTTGTTGTTATTTGGAAATATTGGTTGAAATGAGTTTTAAGTTTTGAAGAGGTATTGATTATACTGACAAACTGATTACAGTCCTAATGATTACAGATGTTTTAGTGTCTTTCATTTCAAAAGGCCTTTTTTAAAGATATAAGTCAAATGAAGTGATCTGTGATCAGAGTATTGGATCTTCTTTCCAGATTCTAAATGAGGATTCTAAATGAGATTCATTGGTTCTGTAGGCTGAGTACATTGCATACACCAGGGGCTCCTTGTATTCCTTCCCATCTAGCTGTCTATGTGCCACTCTCCCATTCCCTTCTATTTCAGGGACTCCATACAAACCCCCGTTCCCATGCCAGGGACTCTGCGTAGCCCCCATGTCGCTTTTCCCCCATTCTACTCACCCATGCCAGTTGCTCTGTGTACCCTCTTATTTCCCCTCTCCTCCCCCAGGTCCTTTGGGTCTCCATACCCGGGTCCCCTATTACCCACAGCATGCAAAGATTTTAATATTACAGACAGACAAATGGAGAAATGCCTTTGAGCTGAGCGTAAGACCTCACTTCTCTCAGCTGATAAATCAAAACTGAGCTCTTAAATTGCAGTAAGGCTGTTTTTTGTTTGTGATTTTAAGATTAAAACCAAAATAATTTGAAATGAGTTCTTCCACTTATCTTTTAAAATAGTTCAGGGTCCTGAGGTTCTGTTTTTTCTGTGCTATGGTTGATGACATCACTAAAACCAAAAATAGTTAAAGGAGCTTGCTTGGGATTAGATGTTAGTGATATCCTCAAATATTGCAGAAGCTATGCAGGCACTTGAGACCCACAGGTATTGGTAGGTAAAAAGCATTTTTAAAACAGCTTCTCTTACCAGCATTTTTAGAATATATGTTGGTGGACATAATGAAGACTGAAGAAGAGACTCTCTTTATTAGGCAACTTCCTGTCTTAAGAAGCCTCCCCAAAGTGTCTCCATTTCTGCTCTTTTATTAGTTAAGCAGTGACTTTTTGTCAGTCCCCTGAGTGATTGCTTGAGACCAGTTTTACTATATGCGAAATAAAATTAAGGTACATTAAACCTTCATTAGAGCTGATCCTGCTTCTGTTTGAGTCAATTGAAAACTCCAGTTGACTTCAGTGGGAAAAGGGTCAAACCTTTGGCTTTTGTCCGGGCTTGAAACTGTCATCAGCTACCATGGTTCCTTTCTGTTAGACTAGTTCAAGATGGTCATATGTCCAAGCCCCCAAATCACTATTACAGTTGATCGTGATTAAACAAATCTTAAAGTGATTAACCACTTGGATGGCAGTCTCAGTAGAGATGCCATGGACTGAATGTGCTTGAACTATCTACTCAGCCCAAAATGTCCTTTTGCAGTTAGGCTTGTGGTGCAATGGAAGGGAAATTTGCACTGCTACTACTGAGGCTGAACTTGTTCTGTGGATAAACAGATGCATGGCATGCTGATCCTGCAGTCTTGATCTGACCCATTTCTTCTCTACATTGGATCAACTTCAGTGTGCTGTTGCAGCAGGAAGTCATTAACAACATGTAATAGGGTGGTAGGCTATAAAATTCTGAATAAGGATGCAGGTTTCCTTGTAATTATCCTAATGTGAAGTGCTTCCGCCCTGCATAAAGAGGCACAAAATTATAGCTGAGTTATTCTGACAGATGCATCTTATCTCCAGTCAGGATAGAAGAGGTTGGAGTATAGGAGACTGAGGGAAGTAGGGTTTGGGAGGAAAAGGAGTCCTGCTGGGAAATCCTAGAAACTGACAAGTTTGCGGAAAGTTGCACCTCTGGTTTGTTCTGTTTGTTGTTGTTTGAGTTACCAATAAAGGCAAGGTGTACCAAGGGGATAAGTTTGGGTGTGTGTGTGTGTCTGTGTCTGTCTCTCTCGGAGGGAGGGGGCGGGAGAGAGAGAGACACACACACACCCTAAATATATTCTCTCTCTCGGAGGGGAGGGAGAGGGGGGAGAGAGAGACACACACACACTGAATATATTCTCATTCTCTCTCTCTCCCATTGACACCATCATTAAACACATAGCTACCATCCTGCTCCGAACAGAATATATTCTCTCTCTCTCTCTCGGGGGGTGGGGCGGAGAGTGAGAGAGAGAGAATATATTCTGTTCGGAGCAGGATGGTAGCTATGCGTTTAATGATGGTGTCAATGGTAGGATAGACCACTTTGCACAAGGAGGGAAAATGAGCAGCTCTGTGAAATGGATACTTAACAGAAACAATGACAGCAAGCCTGGGTTGCAGCACCCACAGGCATGGCTGCCGCAGTTCCGGGGTTTGCCCACATGCACCACTCATGCTGCCAGTAAATCCAGTCTCTTTCTTAGCAAAACTGGAACCAGAAGATAACCCAGAAACACATCTGGTTACATGAAGAGGGTTCAGCCAGGTATCTCTGTCTTATACCTGATAAGCAAAGTGACTCATTAGCTCAGGTTTGAGACCCAGAAAATAGGGACATAGATGGACCTAATAAAGGATCTTTACTTACAAAGTCTGCCTGCAAGAGTGCAGATGTGGCAGAACAATGTGTTCACACTGGCTGCACAGTGCAGCAAACAGAGAGCATCTTAGCGGCTGATGCATCAGAGACAACACAGCCGCAATGTAGAACTGAGAGAGCTTGATTGTTTGTCCAAACGATTGTCACAGAGAAGAATAAAAAGACTTAGGGCCTCAGAGAGAAACTGGAAAGGACAAGGATGCTCCTCCAAACTGAGATCCTTAATCCCAGATCTGGCTGGGGGAGAATTCAAGAATTGAGGAAGACAACCACAGGCTGTCTTCCAAGAACTGCCTTGCAAACCCTGGTGTAAGTTGCGTGAAAGAAAGGTGATGGGTGGGGCATGCGGGGGGTGTGAGCCACAGGGTGTAGAGATTCTGGGCAGTGCTGCTTCCCATAGAGGTTTGGTAACGGACTGTGATAGCTTAGGCAGGCCTCCAAGATGAAGATGTGCTGGGGTCCACACTGACCCCCTGAGCAGCCCTGAATCTGGAAGGTACACTTTAGGTTCCCCCTTTTCCCCTAGGTTGTGAGTGTTGCACCTTTTAGAGGTTCAACACAGTATCTTGACCCCAGACTCTAGAAGAAAACCACCAAGTTCCTCCTTTTCTGTTTCACTTGTGATCAACAGAGACAGGTACAAATATATATTCTGACCACTGATGGAGCATGAGCACGAGGAAACGTAATCTTGCTGTGGTAACAGGGTCTGAAAGCTTTTAGCTTGTGTGTAATGTACCTATGCAACTAGGTGTGAGGGATGTTATCGTTACAGATGTGGACTGTGTCCAAACATTAGTGAGGGAGGGTTTGGTCAGAACTGAGCTCCTGCAGGCAGATCCTCTTTGTCCATCGGAACTTGTATACCCATTTCTCATTGTGTAATCCCCCAACAAGGAGTAAAATAAATGGGCTTCAGAGTGAGGTATCCTGCTCATTACCCTAACTGGTTGTTTTGGGTGGTCCCACTGGTCCATTAGATGCTAAAATAGTTACCAATTAATGCTATTAAAATTTGGAGGAAGCTTGGCAGGGAAATTTTGAGGAAAAGGGATAGAAGACAGGAGCATTGCAAGAAGGAGGTGGTCGTAAGAAGGAAGGCACTAAGATGCACAGTAAAAGATAGCAGAGGAAAAACAGAAGATAAATGTATCCTTTGCCAGAGATAGCACCTCTCTTGTCAGTCGACAAAAAAATCTAGCTTCAAGAAAAGCTGGTTCAACCACCAAGTAATAACAGGAACAATAGGGGTTTGCTAATTCACCTGTTGGAAGGCAAGCTTGTTAGCTTTTTTTTTTTTATGATCCTTCTTTTTAAAATGTGTTCACTACCTTTCACATTTTGTTTTTGGTGGGATATGTTCCCACTTACACAAACTTAGGAATTAAACCCTGCAGAAGACTTCAATCTTCAGGGCTCTCAATCCCTCAGAATTCTGGAGTACTAAATTTACCTTAAAACATGTTAAAAATGGGAGTGTGAACTAGCCCTTCTGTGCTGGGGACTGGTTGTAGACTAGCCTTGCTGGTTCAACTGCTCATCATAGTAGTAATAATCAAGATGTGTTAGATTGTAAATTCTTTGGAGCACAGACTTTCTTTTTATGTATTTGTATAGCACCTAACACAAAGGGATCTCACAAAACAGACTGGGCAACAAAATATTGATTAAATTCAATGTTGTTAAATGCAAAGTAATGCACATTGAACATAATCTCAACTATGCATGCAAAATGATGGAGTCCAAGTGACTGCACATGTCCATCCCTCTGTAGGGGTGTGTGTGTAGTGGCGTGAGGCACCAGAGGGTGCTTGCACTGCCCTGACTGGTATTGCTGAGGGAAAAATCTCCAACCACTGTGCATAAGGTGCGCGCACACACCTACAGTGGAATGGTATGTGCTACATATCTTGAAGAACAACAGTTACAGAAAGGTAAGTAACCATTTTTTACCACTCAAGAAAGAGATCATGGAGTCCTCATGGACAGTTCTCTGAAAATATCTATTTACTGGGCAGTGGCAGTCAAAAAAGCTAACAGAATGTTAGGAACCATTACAAAAAGGATAGATAAGAAAAGATCATAATGCCACTGTATAAATACATGGTACATCCTACCTTGTATACTGTATGCAGTTCTGGTCACCCCATCTCAAAAAAGATATGAGAGTTGGAAAAAGTAAAGAGGAGGGCAACAAAAATTATTACGGGTATGGAACAGCTTCCATATGAGGAGAAATTAAAAAGAATAGGCGTGTTCAGCTTAGAAAAGAGATGACTAAAGGGGGGATATGATAGAGGTCTGTAAAGTCAGGAATGGTGTGGAGAAGTGACTAAGGAAGTATTATTTATCCCTTCGCATAACTAGGGCCCTACCAAATTCATGGCAGTGAAAAATGCATCACAGACCGTGAAATCTGGTCTTCTGTATACTTTTTCCTTATACTATACAGATTTAATGGGGAGACGAGCATTTCTCAAACTGGGAGTTTGGCCCCAAAAGGGGGCTGTGGGAGGTGGTGTTGCAATGTTATTGTAGGGGGTCAAGGTATTGCCACCCTTAGTTCTGCACTGCCTTCAGAGCTGGGTGGCTGGAGAGCAGTGGCTGCTGGCCAAGCACCCAGCTCTGAAGGCCATGCCCCACAAGCAGCAGCAAAGAAATAAGGGTGGCAATACCATACTATGCCACCCTTACTTTTGCACTGCCTTCAGAGCTGGGCAGACAGAGAATGGTGGCTGCTGGCCAAGGGCCCAGCTCTGAAGGCAGCACAGAAGTAAGGGTGGTAATACTGCAATCCCCCCGACACACACACACACTCACTCACTCTTTTGGGTTAGGACCCCTACAGTTACAACACCATGAAATTTCTGATTTTTAAAAATCCTATGACTGTGAAATTGACCAAAATGGACCATGAATTTGGTAGGGCCCTTCGCATAACATAAGAACCAGGGGTCGCCAAATGAAGTTAATAGGCAGCAGGCTTAAAACAAAAGGAAGTACTTCTTCACACAACACACAGTCAACCTGTGGAATTTATTGCCAGGAGATGTTGTGAGGCCAAAAGTATAACTAGGTTAAAAAAAGAATTAGATAGGTTCATGGAGAATAGGTCCATCAATGGCCATTAGCCAAGATGGTCAGGGACTCAAGCCCATGCTCTGGGTGTACCTAAACCTCTGACTGCCAGAAGATGGGACTGGATGACAGGAGATGGATCACTCGATAATTGTTCTGTTTTGTTGATTCTCTCTGAAGCGTCTAGCACTGGCCGCTGTTGGAAAGCAGGGTACTGGGCTAGATGGACAATTGGTCTGATCCAGTATGGCCGTTCTTATTGTGTGTCTCTCTCCTTGAATGTTAAAATATTATTTTGGAACTTTCTGGAGATTACTGACACATTTCACTTGTCAAAAGTTAATGAGGAAGGTTTATTTTCAATTGTCCATATGTACCTAAAACTTACAATTGGAGATGCACTGATATTTGCATGAATCATTTGGAAAAATGACATAATATGCCAGTATGCATGATCTATAAACTAATGAGATTCATGTCAACTTCTAGTGACTTGGTTTTGGTGTTTTATCTTGATCAGTTTTTCATGATTCCCCAGAGGTAAAACAGTAAGAGTAGTGGAAGAAGCTTGGAAAACATTGTTTTGGATTTCTCCGGCTTTATCTCAGCCAGATAAACACACTTGTGTGGTTTTACTGGTTTTCATTGTCTTACAATACAGCTGATATTTATCAGAATATAGATTCATCACTATCTGCTTGTTCTGTCTACAACTATTTTAAAGCATCTGTAGGTTTTTCAATATTCTCAGTTGTATATTGTATTTTTCTTTAATGTCCTATAAAGCCCTAAATGTTTTTGAGTCTTACTGAGTCTCTGTTCTTTGGATTTCATGGTAGCTGCCATCAACAGTCATATGAACTAACAGTCCTCTGACTTTTAAAAAGAATGTAAAGCTGGCAGGGCATTTTAGTAGTGGGTCCTTGGCTCAGGAAATCACTACCCCACCTTTGTAGTATCAAAGCCCAGTTTTAATAAACTGCAGGGCACTCTGCAAAGACCCTGTCTGTTTTTTACCAGGCTTTTTTGGGAAGTAGAAAAATGAGTGAGGTTTTGGAGTAAGTGGCTGAGTCAGTGTCTTTTTATTTTGCAACCTTTTTTTGTTAAATATTAATTTTTGGCATGAAAGAGCATCTATACGAATATGAAGTAAATTACAAGATATATTCAGTGATATATAAACTTTTGCGTATTAAGGTTCATTTTTCTCATATTTCAAAAATGTTTTAAAGTGGATTCAAAATTCAACATACTAGAAAGTCTGTAAGGAATGCTACTTATGTGAACATTAGAACATAATTTTATGTATTCTGAATAAAGTTCTGTTTACATTTCAATTTAGGTGTAGGATACGCCTTTTAAATATAAGTGCAGTCATTTTTCAAAACATTATAGTGCATACTTTGAATGCCGACTTACTGATCTTTCTGACGTAATTGCATTTGTATGTTGGAATTATGCCTTTGAACACTTAACAGTAATCCATAAAGGATATACGTCTACATATCATGGCAATATTTGAAATGTTTTAGATATAAACTAACTACAATATGTAATACATGGAAAAAATAAACCAAACAAGTTTTGTTGACCCTAACATTAGCTTAAAAAAATAAAATCAGTAAACATTTAAATAGTGATGTGGAGCTTATAGTCAAAATGTTCACTACTTATGGTGATGGCTATAATCCCAGCAAAGTGCAATTAACCAGTCTGAAACTGAAAGTACAGAAAAGAAGAGCAAATATACAGTAATACAGAGAAGCAGAGATTGTAAAAACATGAGACTAATAAATTACACTGGAATGATTTATGTTTGAATGAAATAAGTCTGGTATATTTCCCATTGGCATAAAAGGAAATGTCCTCTTTTGGCCCTAATGACAAGGAAGCAAAAAAGAGTATATTGGTGAAGGCAGAAAAGAAACAAACTGGACCTGTCCTAAAGGTACTGTAGCTAGAGCTGTGAAAATAACCTGATTTGTTTTTTTGGTTCATTATCAGTTTTGAAAAATTGGCAGGAGGGGTAAAATTAGTTTGACCCAAACTGAAAATGACCGTTCTTAGCATTTTTGGCAAATTGAAAAAGTTGGGAACAGTTTGTTTCTGGTTGAATTAAATGTTTTGTTTTGGGGGCACTTTTAACTTTATTTTTTTTCCTGTGTTTAAAAAAAAAAAGAAAAAGACTAGAGTGACAAAAGTGCTGGTACAGCCCCTGTTCCCCTTCTTTATGATGGCACTCACCTGGGATGTGTGGCACCCTTCGGAGCAGAGACTTGAACCCAAATTTGCCCCCTCCCAGGTGAGTGCCTGACTATAGGGTATTCGTTGGTAGGTCTTGCTCAATCTCTGCTGTGGAAATTGTTCTACTTTGTATGAAATTGTTAAGTAGTCATTGGCGCAGGGACTGGAACCCTGCCAGCTCAGTGTCCTAGCCACCAGGCTATAGAGTCATTCAGTCTCACCCTGGCCCAGTGACTGTGGTTCACCAGAGGGGAGTTGTGGTCTAACAGGCCAGAGTTGCAGAGGATTAAAACCTTTCATGTTGCTCAGGGAGAGGAAGATCATAAATGGCTTTTTTGTCCTCATCTTTGCATGTACATCCCAAATGCCTCTCCATGGGACAGCACAATCGCCTTGCCATGCCATGCCTTCCACGCCAGCCACCTTCCACGGTCCCATATGCATCCCTACTTCTTCTCCCTAACTCCACACAACCCATCTCACTTCTACCAGAGCACCAGGCTGTAGCCCCTGGGACATTTGGATTGGTGGAGCAGGGATGTGAAGTGGTAGGGAGAGCACAGTTTTGTAAGGAGTGCATGGAGAAGTGGTGCTCAGGCTGAACAGGGAACCTGTGGTGGAATAAACAGAGCAGAGGGGGCTGCACTTTGACGAATGCGGGAATCCTCTGTGTTCTACTTTTTTCATCCCAAGCAAACCCAATGTACCCTGTGCCCTTACCAATCAAGCTTTTAGGTATTCACATATATTTTGATGATAGATGAGGGTTGTGGTTGACGGTGACACTCATTGGCAGAAGTGTGTTAAGGAACAGGGCTGTGAGAGATGATGGGAGGAGTCAGCTGTTTGCAAGTCCAGTAGGAGAAGTGGAACAGGAGGGTGGGGGTGGGGGGGGTCCAGCATTGGAAAGATATTAGAAAATCTGTAAGATTTCCCCAGACACACACTTGCTTAGCTTACAGTTAAGGTTGCTCAAGTGCACAGCCTCTCAACACAAACAATAAAACCAAAGGAAATCACAAGTACATAATCCAACTGCACACTTCAGTTGTGCGTTCAATTTACCTATCACGCCACCTATATCACCCCACAACTACACAGACCTCCTTAGATTCAAATGCATGACACTGTGTTGATATACAACAATGCTAAACACTAACAATTAACTCTCTACAATGACATTTTCACATGATTACAAAATCAAATCTCTTTTCATAACTCTTAACTGCATTACATTCTCACAAATTTCCTGCACAAATATAATCCCTCCGTTGTTTTACTTCTCTTACTGTATTACCACCATACCATATTTCAGATATAAGAACTACGTGTTAACTGTTCCCACAATCTCAACCTAAACACATTTCTCTAACTAATTTGGTAAGAATTGAGGTAAGCATTTGGTTGTAAAAGGGAGAAGGTCTGTGTGGCTTTTTTTGTAATCTGGGATGGTGAGGTATGTTGAAAAGTGTGGGAGAAATTTATTTAACTTGTGACTTCCTTGGCTTTCATTGTGTTGGTAGGATGTGTACCTGAGCAATTTTAACTGGAAGCTAACACATATTTGTATGGAGATAAACAAGAAGTTGTGTGTAAAATTTCCTTTTTAGGATGAAAGAAGCCTAGGTCAGGGTACAGATAAGATAAGGAGCCTTTCTGTCTCGATATTTAGTACAGCTACTGTTCAGATGCATAACCACAAAGGCCCCAGTGTTGCAAAGTCCCAACTAAGTGGTCAAGCATACACATAAGTCTTTGCAGGATCAGGGCAAAAATCATTATCATTTGATTGTGTAAAGGCTTATGTAAAATAAATGGTGATCTTGGTGCAATTCTTATTGGGCATGTTAGCACCCTTGTCTGCAATTTCAGGAAAGAAGCCAAAGATCGAATGGACATGAAAAATGAACCTCCCTATCAACCCCAGAGGAAAGTGAACAAAATTAATGGGTTGGGTGAGAAAGCCGTATTACTACGGGCCTTGTCCCTGTTCTGTTTGTTGAATAGAGGGGCTTCATTCTCCAGGACTGTCACTGTTACCATTCATGAACAATACAGTCCTTTAAATATTTACAAAAATGTAGTATGACTAATCCTTAGGAATCCACACCTTAAAGTATAGGGAGGTACTCAAATAGCATTATGGTAGGTGCCAGGTTATTATAATTTAATATTTGCATTGCAGTAGCATCTAGAGGCTTCTATCAGGATTTCCCCATTCAGCCAGATGCTGTAAACATGTACGTGGAGAAGGGAGTAGGTTAACTTGAAATTGAATGATACGAGATGTTATAGGATAAGTGTTGAGCAAAATTGTAGGATGGGGTATGTTGTGTTCTTTTTGGTCTTCGTCCCACAGAGACACAGAGGCTTGGACTCGTGGACGGAAGCTCCACCCAGACTGCTCATCTGGAACTTTGAGGGGGTTGAATTTGAAGGATCATTGTTTGGCTCCTGCAGAGAGGGGGGGTCTAGACTGTGATCAGCAAGAGAAGCACTGCTGAGGTTTTACAAGATTATGCTTTCCCTAGTGGAGTAAGAAGTAGAAGGGTTACTGAATGCAACTGTTATGTATGTTATGTTTTACTCTGGTTAAATAAGTTTAGTGGTTTTTCAAATCCAGTAGTTGGAGGCATAGTCAATCGGTGGGTTTTGAAGAGATCTTCAGTAAAACAGTTACGAAAAGCAGCCAGAATCATCCGGTATTTACTGACAAGAGGAAGATAAGAGGGGTAAAAGGGCTAGTCTAATGATCCAGAGACACCAATGTTGAATAAGGTACGTGCCCAGGAAGAAACAGGTTGTTGCCTCACATAAGAGAAAGCTCTTACAGTCTAAGTAATTTTGATAGATAACACTTCATTGGTGGCTGATAATGACTTGTCACACTCATGTTGCACCTGAAAAAACCACACAAATTAAATAACTAAAGAAACGCAATATAGCTTTTTAGCTAAAGGGCTCAACTTTGCTCCCTTTGCAGACAATGGCAAAACTCCCATTGACTTAAATGGGAGCAATATCAGGCTGAAAGTGTTTATTTTGGCTTTATATTTCCTGGTGGTTGGCAGAATAATTTTTCAAAGGAGGTCATCAAACATGCACATTTTAGAAGCTGAGTCAAATCTAACTGCATGTAGGAATTTAAGCTGCTATGGTTTCATTTTACTGAAATGTCTCATTAAATTCTACATCCAGCCAGTTAATTGAAGATGAATTTATGTTATGCCACTTTTTTTTAATGGAGAGTAAAGGTCATCTGATTTGTCACATCATCTGTCCTTCAACAATTTTTTAAAAAAAATCATAATCAATTTGAATTGGTAGTTTAGTTTTGTTACAATACTGATTTTATTTTTTTTTTAAAACGTGGACAGTATGAAATCTTCCTAATAACTAAAGCTTTCTTCCACTTAATTTGTGCTTTTGTTGCTACTAACAAATAATTTGCAGTATGGGTTTTTCTGTACACCATTGATAGACTCTGTGCTTGTCATCCCAGTATACTGGAAATGTTACTCTCAAATCAAGGGTTCCTTTCTGGTTTTGTATGTCCTCACCTGCTCCTCACTGTAAATCATTGAGATGTCAAGTGTAGTGATTAATTAAGCTGCACGTGCAAGTACTTTTTTTCACCTGTCAAGTAGGAAAGAAGACTTGCTATAGAGAATTGTGTGATGCTGTTTAATTCACTTCTTTTTCCCCAAGCTGTGGAGTTTGCAGTAACGTTTTACATTTAAATTTTCTTTCACATTTTTATAGCTGTAATTCAGTGTTGGTTTATGAATTTTAAATCTTACAAGGCATATTTACAGGGGGATATAAAGTATTATAGTAGGAGTTTTACATAAGTGAGCAAGACCAACTGTATAATATTGTGTTATCAAAAGTTATATAGTCAAAATCTTGCTAGTTAGAGTAGTTCTAATTGGATACAATAGATTAGTTTTTAAACAAATTGATTAAACCTACATCACTAGCCTAACAGGTTTAATAGTTGTGGTGATATTTTTACTGTAACGAAGGATCTTTTAATATTTTATGGAAAGTACGTTTGGTGCATTCTGTGTGCAAGATTTTAATATTGTATGTTCAGTTTCTTGTGTGTATGTATTATATGCCTTATATAGTACACTGTCTATACATATGTGTGTGTATGCGTACACGTGTGTGTGTACACACAATTTTATTGGAATTTGGAAAGCTTGAATGTTTGTTCCACTCTTTTTCAGGCAAGTAGTAAAATTAAATTGTATTGTGATTTTAATCTATTATTAAAAGGTCCAGGAAAGGAAGATTACAAGGTAGATTCAGGTTTTGAATCAGTTTTGCCATTGGTTTAGCAGCGGGTGGGCAGGCAGATGCCTGCTCAGAGTAGAACCTATTGCCATTTTTCACCATTGATAGAGTAGCCTTTCAGAGTCAATGAGCTCTGTCAATGTGAGCTTGTCAAGGCTACAACTTCATAGACCTGAGAGGCGGTTTGAGAGGTCAGCCCTTTTCAGGTTTGCTGTGATGCAAATGAACTTTAATGCTTAAACAACTATTGGAATTTTTATGTCTGCTCCTTGTTCTTTTTTCTTCACAAAGTCATTGACGAGACATTCAGTGCTTTTTAAATTGGAAGTTGCATTGTGCTAAAGACCTAGTACAGATTTACGGAGGGCTGAAAGCAGTTAGATCATGTTCTTTTCATGGTGCGATTAGAATCAAATCGATTTCCCTACAGCCTTCAGCATTCAGATGGCAATTTTAACAAAGCTTGGGGGCTAGACAAGGGACAAAACGACTGAACTGAATGTTAATTACACTCTGCAGCCTTATTTTCTTTTGATTTGGAGCTGACTGGCAACTAAATTAACAAAAGTGTGACCATAACTGCTGCCCTATTTTCATTTAAAAAGAGAGCAGACTCTAAAAGGCTATCTTTACAAAGAAACAAGTTAGGTCTGCTGATCATTGTTAAAGGACACTGTCTTAAAAAATAGTAGTAGTTATAATAATAATAATAATTAATAATAATAAACAAAAAGAAACCCTGAATTCCAAAAACTGATTAAATAAATTTAGTCACTGACAAAGCCACCTTTTAAAGTTCTTGTAATGTCTGCTTTTAAAATATAATGTAGTAGAAACACAACCCAATAATGATTATTCATAGATTATAATTAATTTATTTTTAATCATATGACCATAGCTCAGGCTTAAACATGTTTGGTGTTGAAAGGTTGTATGGTAACTAGAGAGCAAGTAGCTGATTTTAAATAAATATTAACATTTTGCATTTGAAATGCCAAGCCAATCATTTGAAAACAGTTGAATTTTTATTTTATTCAGCTCATACTTGCTTGACTCACAGATTTCTAGTTTGTGATTGTGAGTGTTTGTTTATACTACCTCTGTTATTTTACAATAATAACAGCAAGATGCTTCCCCCCTTCATCCCCATTGCTTTGTAAGGAAGCTGCAGCTGCACTAAGTTGCAGTTGATCCTTGTCAGAGCTGCGTCCTTTTGCACCTGCAGCTCTGTTGGTCTCATCTTAACACCTGGCATCATGAATTATCCTCTTTTATTCGTACTTGCTAGCAAATCCCATTAAGGGCTGAGCAGTAGACATTGCGGCAGTCAAATGACCATAAATGTCAGAGTACATTTCTAAAATGTAAGTATAACTAAATTATTATACTTAGATACTCAAAATATCTCTAGGCATGAAGCTGTACTTCAGAAAGATTGCTGTTTTTCATTACATTTTGCATACATGAAGATTGATAAGTTATTAGAATTGCATACATGCAAAATTTTATTTGTAAAGATTTATCAACGTTTAGATTTCAGAATGTCAGAATTCTTTGCATGAAATGTCAAATGTTAAAAGCACAAATGTCCAAATCTTGAGAATCTGAAATATTGGTATTGCACTGCATTTTTGTGTAAATCCTAGATTTTTTTTAACCATTTAGCATTTGTGCAAGTTACCATCCTAACGTTCCATATTCGGATTTTCCTGGCTAGTTTTCAGAGCTAAAGATATAAAAGATTTTCTTTAAGGTATTGGTTAGATAGAATATTTATACTTGACCTCTTGCATTACAAAGTAAAGTTTACAGCATCTTTCAGCTGTTCAAATAGAGATGTTTTGGAAGCAGTATATTCACATTAATATTTTTGTGTAACATTCTTGCTGAGACTTAAAAATGGTCTGAAAATTGCTGTTGAGTACTCTTAGGAGTCCAAGCAATTAAAACATACGTATAAACCATTGTGCTCAAAGGTTGCAATTCTTTTTTCACATTGTCACTTAGTTTTTACTTTTTAAAAAGGATCATTTCTGCTCTAGTTACTGTTTAATACTACAGAAGGTTTGATAGTATTGCAGACCACCCTGTACTCAGTCACTGTCCTATACCTCTCCCCTTTTCACACAAAAGCAGCTGCAAAACAAAGTTTTTCTAAAACCAGTCAAGAGTAAAATTCTTTCTCATTTGTCTTCCAGACACGAAGATCGATTGAGAAGTTATTAGAATGGGAAAACAATAGGTTATACCACAAGGTGAGTGCCGCAGGGAGCAGCTTCGTACTGTTGGAGTCTGAATTGCACAGTATGGAAACAGATGCTTTTGTTGAACGAAAAATATGAAAGGTGGACAAATGGGCTAGTCTGTGTGCTGCAATAAAATACAGCTCATTTTTCTTCTTTTTCTTTCCTCCTTGTCTAGCTGTGCTTGCATTGGAGACTGAGCAAAAGGAAATGTGAAACGAATAACATGATGGAATATGTAAGTTAAAGGGCTGTTTTGTGAGTTTCTCTATTAAATGATCATTTATTTTGCTTCTGATCTTATTCTTTTCATGATTATTAATCAGTAAAGGTGTCAGGAGCTTAATCGCCTGAGTGCAAGGATTTTCTACGGTTCACAGATGCATAGTTTCATGTGCAGGACTGATTTATAAAGTTATGAATGACTTGAAAACAAGGCTTCACTGTGTTCTGAAAAATAATAAATTAATTGCCAAGATAAAATAGCTTGAACGTGTGTTGATGGAGTGTGAAATTTTAGATGCTGTATAAAGAATAACCACAACTTTGGTTACGCAGCAAGTCAGATATGGCTGTTTTATATAATGCTAATCAAGTCTAAAAGTATGGAAGAAGACCTTTCAGCTAAACTGTTGGAGCTTAAGAAACCTTTAGCCTTTATAGATATTAACTGCCCCACATCTCAACTGTCTTGAAAGTATCTTTATCTTTAATAGGGTCACCTAAAATATTTGTAAAGTCAGTCTTACAAGTAAGCTACAAAAGACACTTCGGTTTGGTTATTATTCCCTAAAAAGTTCTCAAGTTATAGAAATATATACGCTGAAAAGTTGCATGCCTTCTTCAGTCAGTCAGTATGGCATTTCAGTTTGCTCACCTAGCTGCCTTCTTGCTCTTTTATTTGTTTTCTGTTTTATTACTGTTTTCAAAAACTTTTGAGTGTAGTCAAGGGAGAGTGAATGTGGTGAGATGAGTCTGTTAAATTGATTACATCACTGAAATATGTAGGATTTCCTTAATTGGAGAAGTGAGTGGGCCAGGAAGGGGTTAACTATTGAAAATAAAGACTAACCTTGGAGAAATACTTAGGATAGCACTTCTTAAATATGCATGGTCTTTTGTTATCTGATATTTTGTCTATTCTTTGAAACAATAAAGCCATCATAGAGGCATATAAAAAGATTGGTTAAAATAGTGTTTAAATAATTAGAAATTCTTAAAATCATCTTTTCACTGCTAGCATTCCCCTTTCTTCCATTTTCACACTAAATCCTATTTCTAGCCTGAAACATAAAAGGATTTTTAATGTCTCTTTTCACAGTCTAGCTCTATTTACTAAACTGAATAAGTAGATTTTTTGTATCATTATCTATTATATAAAACATGTTAATTTATGACGAGATACATGATATTTCACTATAAGCAGGAAAAATAGCAAATTTCAGTAAGCTGTTTTGAGCTTTACCCATATGAAGATGTCCTGCTTTTTTCATCATGGAATGCTTCTGTTTTTCTACAGAAGTAGTTAGTATTGTCACTTCAAATCCTTTGCAGACTAAACTGAAATTAAGCAAAAGAGGCTACAGTTTTTTTAATTAATTTTGGAGGGTGGCTTACTAGAGTTTCAACAAATGTTCATCTTTTTTTAGGTGAACTTGTATGAAATTATAGTCACTTTTTATATAGTGGACATTCTGTTAACTAAAGATTTTAAATCAATTGGTCTACTTACAGGACTAAAGTTAAGCTTGTGCATAAGTGTTTGCAGGATCAGGATCGAAGAGTGAGAAATATTTTTAAAAGCTTCTAACAAGTTAGCTGTCGAAATATTTAATATAGTTATTTTAATCCAACATTGATTTTCCACAGAACTTGTGTTCCATTCTTTTGTCTGTAGCTAGTTAAGATGCTGGTCGTATTAAAGCTGTCTTAAATTTTCCATTTATAAGTTAACTTTAAAAAGAAGTGGGGTGGAAAAATGAAGCTAAGCCTTTCAAAAATGAATGCGGAAAGTGAGGCTTCCATATCCATATTTTGGCACCTAAATAGGGCTTGTCTACAGGAAGGTTTTATCTGTTGGTCTTGATGCTAAACAGTGTGCAAGTTGTTTCACTTCACCAGTAGAAAAAATGACTTGCACCTCTTCAGCTTATTCTAGTTTGAAACATGGCCTGAATTTCAAAAGCACTCAGAGGTCAGTGGTGCTCAGCATTTTTGAAAATCAAACTACTAACTGAGTTGCCTAAATTTATATTTAGAATCCTAACTTTAAGGCTTTGAAAACCTTGGCCTCAGGGATCAAATCCATGGATTAAACACCCCCTGCCCCCCCCCCCCATACACACCTTTTTATAAAAGACAGATGAGGCATTTATCCTTTAAACAGCCAGCTAGTTTTTTTCCTATGCACCCAAATGTACCTTCTGAGTGTCAGCTTTTTGTCTGTTTCAGGTAATATGCTTTTTATATGATAGGCTTTTGATGATGAAACGTATTATTTAAAAAAATTTTAGGAATGCAATTTTAATTGATTAGAAGAAAGGCTACCTCCTTTTACCAGTGTGCTTTGAATTGCACAGTTAGAAACCAATAAAATTCAATTACATTCCTTTGTTGAACAGAGTAGAGTGTTAGGAGTCCCAATCTTACTGATGTGTCAGTAATTTTATGGACAATTTTATGGAGAGGAAAGTTTTGAAAGAGTAGTTTTTCTTAAGATGCCCTTCAACACACACTAAGGGGTAGATTATATTCAGATATGTTATATTGATGGCCTCCTATAGCAAAATGGCTCACACATTAGAATCTAGCTCTGAATATTCATGTTGAAACACAAGTCAAGTTTCTTGCTACCTACCTGAGAATTTGTTTGATATGGAGATGGGCCTTGAAATATGTAAAACAGATTATTAGTGGAGTAGTAATTAGTACTTTTTATGGAAAATCATTGAAACTAAGCATGTTTTTTTATTTTCAATTGATTGCAAAACTGATCTGAACTGAGAACAAGTATTTATAGTTTAGTTATAAAGTTGTTTTTACATGTATTCATCTTCTCTTTTTAACATCCATATCTTTACATTTTGTTAGAAAAAAATTATGAGCCAGTTAGCTGAGTTTGTCAATGAATAATTAGCTGGTGGCTTATTTTAACATGACCCGTGAGCCATATGTTTCTCTATCCCATATGATACTCTGGCTGTTAAGGTTTACTGCCCTTAGATTGGCACATGATGTGTATCATCATTTCCTAGTGGTCCCTTACCTAATGAGGGTAGCATGGCCCTTGATTGTTCATTCTTTCCTCTCCCCACATTTTTAGATAAATGTAAACAAATTTTGTGAGTGGTTGCTGTGATGAACTTCAGTTAATGGATAAGACTGATGCCAAGTTTCATTAAATTTGTTTTTCTTTTTATACAGGTCATTCTGATAGAATTTTTACCAAAGACACCGATTTTTCGACCAGACTAGCATTTGCTTTATTTATAGAGACTTATCCAAGTATGTTGTCTTTCCAATGGTGCCTTGCTTGGTGCTCTCCTGGTGGTGATATAGCATTGGTTCTACAGATTATTGTGGTGGTTTTTGTTCTTTTTATTTTTTAATAACAGCATGTTCTAAGTGCATTTTGTCAAAATTTGCAAAAGTCATTTCATGCAAATGTTAAGTACTACTTAAGTTATTACTTGTACTTCCTATGTTTGTTAATGTATCTTGATTTTCAGAGTCTTTTATATGTGTGTGTGTATATACATAACATAAATATACAGGTGAAAATAGCCTACAAGCGAGCAGATATTTTTTTAACCCATAATACACATAATGAGTTGACTGTAAATTGTGGAAGTTTTTAATATTTAACCTGTATACCTAAGTAACTTCTATGACCCTCCCCAGATTTTGCCTGTGACATTCTAGTTGTATATTTTTATTCCCCCCCCCCTTTTTTTTTGGCCGGGGAGGGGGGGGAAACAAAGGGAATATCAGCCAGCCACCTCTACTGAGATAAAAAGATATGCTTGTTTGAAACTGTCCATTTTGGAACCCAAATGTCAATGCACCATTAGAAGTGTCTGTGCTCTTTTGTGAAGAAATCTATCAGCTGGTTCTGAAGAAGTTCTATCTTAAAGGTTAATAAACCAGAATTTGAAGTATTTTATTCAGACTGGAAAAATCATGGAAAGGTTTGCATGCATCTAACGATTACTAGAGCTCAGGATCACAAAAATACATTAGTATTGCAACTTATAATGTATATATCTTAATTCAGGTTAATGCCATGTAACAGCTTAACTCTTTACTTCTTATTGTTTACCAGAGCTTGTACACAAGGGTGCAAAAATATTTGTTTCAGTAAATTTATTGTCCCAAGAAAATCTTTTCCAGGTTTTTTAGGGCTTTTAAAAATGCATTTATAACCTTACGTAGGCCGTCGTTTGAGAGAAATCTTGAAAAATACAGTTCCAGACACAAATGGAGATGGATGCCTTGTATCACAAAATTAGTCAAAGCAGGGTACGCTGGACAATAGTGAGAACTTAAGAAATGTACTGGATAAATATTTATTGCACCCTGATTTCTTCCCATTTAGGTTTACAAGGTTTATTTTCTGCACAAATATGATTTTAAAAAACCTGGATATGTGATGTATGCTTGGGTCAGGCCAGTCCTATTTCATTATGTTACTTATCTCACTTTGTTGTACATATCTTCATATATGTTTGTTTTTAATAGCTACTCAGTAATCTTATTTTTAAGTTTGTTCTTTGTATGACTGGAATTACTGTACATGAACATTAATGTATGCTAAGAAACTGTTACTCATACATCTGTGGTAGCAAGCAATAATGTGAATAACTATGACAAACAAATATACTCTGCTTAATATTCGTATGAATGAAAAGTTGATATCACGACACAAATACCTTTCTCTTTTTACTCTTTTTACTCTTTTAAATACAAGGTTCATTTCTCATTAATATATACAAGTACCTGGATGTTATGAACTATTTTTGTATACTTCTTCAAAATAGTTATTCTCTATAAATCTTCACTAGTGAATGTCATATTCATTGTTTGATATTGGGAGCTGTCTAGAAAGGTCAAGGGTTTTCTCTGAATTATCTTAATCTGTGTTCTCTATATATGCTCCAGAATAGAGATCTTCCATTACTTAGCTTTTATCTAATGATTCCTACTCTCTGCTTTGAAGAAAGGAGCTCTTGTGCTTTTTGTGTAAGCTGCAGGTATGTTTTACTGTTATCAAAGTTCCCAATGGACTGTATAAAATAGCTCTTTCATGGACATATTGTTGGGTATCTGTTATCCCTTCCAGTTCCCCATTGGTATTTCATTAATGAAGAAGTGTCTGAGTGGCTTAAAGATTTTCACTTGGGGCATATCTCTTATAAAGTTCTTATATGTAGTACTGCCCTGTGTTAACACAAGAGCCATGACTGCTCAAGGTGTCAAATGTTTATTAACCAAATGGATGTCAGTCTCATTTTATCAGACTTTACAGCTCATTTTTTAAACTTCTGTATCACTCTTTGAATATCTGTTGTAGAAGTCCAAATTAGAGTTTTTGTAGATCAAAAACTTTGGAAATTCCTTGACATGAAGGACAAGTCAAAATATCTGAAATGCTCGAAGAAGCAATTCTCAATGTCTCTGAGATGATTGGGATGGCTCCAGAGAGACTCAGGAGTTTGGGATCATTGAGTCAGTTATGGCTGACCAAGATTCTTAAATCCTCTTGGTTTCTCCTGTCAAAGTAGACCATTCATCCAGTAGTAATTATAAAACTTCTTTACACAAATCCCTTAACTTCTGAACAAAAATAATAGAAATTGGAGATGGAAAAGACCTTAAAAAGTCATCAAGTTAATCTCCGTTGTGGCCAGTAGGGATTTTTTTTAATATAATTTCTAGTGTTTTGTCCAATCGGCAGTAGGTTTACGTGACTCTAGCAATGGTTTCATTTCCTACAAGTCCCAACTACCAAAATAAAACAATTTATAGTTTGGGCAGGCCGCAAGACAGTGATAAAGAGAAAAGGGAATCAAAATGCTGCTCTGTGTTGCAGGATATTTTCAGGCTGCCCTTTTATAAATGAAAAGCAGTTAACACACTAGACTAGTCTGTGTGTTAACTGCTTTACAATTATAAAGGATAGCCTGAAAATATCCTACAAAAGGAAGTAATCTTTCTGATTCCCTTTAACTAGTTAACTTATCAGTCTTTGCTTGAACTGTGAAGGCTGGATATGCACTTAATTAAAAAGAATACTAATGAGAAATCTTAACACAGTATCTAGTTATGCCTATTTAACCTTTAGCGTGAAAAACTGGTGCTAAGGGCATCAGTGACTGTATTTGAAAGTTATTTTAGATAGTTGATTTGTAAATGCAGTTGCCTTTAATTGTTTGGCCAGGATTTCTCTTTCTTTCCATAGTATAAGCAAAGAAAATCACTTGTCTCCATCATCAAAAGATGCACTGTAGTTTTTGGGGAAAGGCTCCCATTCCGGAGGGCTTTGGATCAGGCCCTACATGAGAAGTCCTGATGGTATAATATATTTACAAGAGCCCTTAACAGTTGGCCATTGGTTAAGGTCTGAAGCTTCCAGTGGGATTTGCAGAGTTTGCAGTGAGCTGTTAATTAGAGGAGGGAATCTTTATAGATAAAAGTTACATAAAGCTAGTAAGCATTTCACAGTCCCTTTGGTAAGGGTACTTTTTAATAAATTTTACAAGTAAATCCAAGAGTCCCAGTTATACTCATCAAAATAACTGAATTTTTCATTACCATATGCTGTGGATTCTGAGGACTTGTAGTAGTAGAGTTCTAAATATCATAGGAAAGGGTTTAAAAACTGTTTTTCCCCAAATAGTTACCAATTTCAATGTTGCCAACTCATGATTTTTATCACAAGCTCCTGGAGGCACGTGATTAGGTTAGAGTGTCAGCTTTTTTTTTAATTAAGTAAATTTGTAGCCCTCGTGTTTGCAGGTAAAAGTTTGAATACGTGAACCCTAAAGGCTCAGAAACTAGAAGGAAAAGAACCCTCAAATGTATGTATTTATTTATGTATTTATTTATTTAAAATCAAGAGACATTTAAACAAATCTAACTTTGAGGAGGAGTGACTCATGATTTTGCAATAGTTGAGGTTGGTAATCCTGCAGATTGCTGATCCAGAAAGCTTAATACTGAACAATTTAAGGAGATATATAAATGGGACATGTACCTCTTAAATCCAGTAACCTGTGCTATATATATAGACAGCTCTAGTCTACACTTCAAAGCACTGCATTTTTGTAGATAAGGGCCTTCTCCCTCCCTGAGGTCAAATTTTTTAATATGAAGGATACTTAAAATCAATCAAGGATGCATCCTTGTCTCAAAAGATGTCTTGGATTCATTGTAGGAACCCGGTAGTATGGATGGTGCCTTCAGCCTGGCTGGCTTTGGATCCATGACTAAAACCAAGTTCTTGCTTAGATAATTTGCTTTTGAAAGGACGGTGTTTCAGAAGAGAAATCTGTATTCATCATCATTACTAATTCCCTCCAATTTCTGTGATTCTTTCCCTAAAACCATCCTTCCCATCCTGTTAAGTGTACACTATATACTGATTTTGTTGGCCACACTTAGGTGAAAATATAATTCCTGAGGCATTAATAGGAAAGATAATAACAGAGCTAATAGGCTGAATGGGCCTGACTACATGGAAGCTTATTTTACAAATTGCTTCCCAGAAGATTACTTGGACTTTAGTATGCATGACCATTTAAAATGTAATCAGCCTGTGGCCAAGGCAGCCCACTTCACTGTGTGGTGCGAGGATGTTAAACACAATGAGCATTTTAGATCACCAGATAAGGATAGATGAATTCCCTTGCTGTAAATGCAGAACCTGAATGTTTCCAAGAAAGACTAGTTCCACACTGAAATGCTTTCCATATGCTTCCCCTTTCTATGACAGGTGTGTCTGCAAACTGGGTGAGCCAGGATTTTCTGGTAATGATAAATGCAAATGTTCTTTTTGCTGGGAGACTTAATCAGCGGGTGCCAGTGGGAAAAAGTGCAGTGGAAGCAAATGCTCTTGCTACTGTGTGATGTGGCTCATGTGTGCCATATCCTCAGTTAATGCAGTGCTCTAGTTCACTGCCAGATTAATATATTCAGTTTTGTTAGTAACAGTGTGTCAAACTTTGGACTTTGTTATTGTCTACTGATATAGATAGCATCGTTCTTTACCGCTGGAATCTCCTGGAAAAGTTGTAGTCAGTGTAATTTGGTATGTTTTGAGACTAGTTGTTAAAAAAAGAATCCTCTGAGTTATGTGTATTAAATTTAATTTTGTCAGTGTATATCCCCACCACATCACAGCTGGATGAAATAGATTTTTTGTAACCTAGATTGTTTTGTTTAATTGAAAGACACTCTTTTTAAAAGTTCATCCAGGCTTATTTCCTTTGATACTGCTTCATTAAAATCAGCTTGTCTTGGAGAAAATGAAGTTACTCTCCCATTTACCCTCAGGAGTCAAGCATTTGTGAAAGTTACAATAAGGCAATGGTGCAATCAAGGTAATTGTAATAAATTTTAGTTAGGAAGGCAAGGTGCAAAAGGCTGAACATAGAGCTTGGTAACAGAACTCTCTGAGTGTACTTCAAAATGGGTTTCTTTCTGTATCAAACGGTATTGAAGGATGAAGGTTATGTCAAGGCTAATTGAATCCCTTTCCTGAGCTTTTGTAGACAATGTTCTAATTCCCACTACATTTTGGGTCTCCAGTAAGTGCCTCATTAACCTTTTTGGCTGTGCCCTAATTGATAGAGATTTCTCCAGCTCTGTTATTTATGAGAAACACTTCCACTGTAGAGATAAAGCATCTTCTACCTTTCTGTTAAACTAGTTTAAAACTTAAGATATCTAGCTCAAATAGGAATCATGGATAAAAGTGGGACAGCCTTAATTACACACCAATCTCTTCCAAAGCTAGAGCCTGTAATGCATGGTTAATTGTATTCAAAGAAAAATCTTAACTTGTCCATACATGTGACAACACATATAAGACCCAAGAGTTAGGATCCAGTGAGGATAGCTTAAATTCAGGTAAATTAAGTAGATTTTGTAGCTGGGTGTGTCTTACTGAAATGGAACTGTTAAATGTTCATCTTTAAGGGGCAGATATAACATTTTTTAATGGTTCTTGCAGTTTAATTTTCTCTTTGTAACAAACATTGAAAATTACTTTGCTTCAAATGTCAAAAATTAGGATCAATCATTGTAATCTAAAAATTTTGTTTCAATCATTTTTATTTTGTAAAAATGGGGTTGTTAATCCATTTTATAGACCATGCTTTAGCAACCTTTTATAAATCAAAATATGCTGGTGCAGTGTAATTCTAAAATACTTTAAGGAGGGTCTGCATATGGAGGAACTTTCTTAAGGAGCTTTAAAAGTTAAGTTTGTGATCTCTTATGTTATGGTTACAACACACTTCCTAATCCATCAGGATATGCTTTGTATATATTTTAAAATAGAAGGTTTTTTTCAGAGTAAATTATTTCAAGGAAATTAGAGTAGTTCAGCATTAAAATGTGTAACTTATTAGATTTCCCTAAAAGACCTGAATTTTGCAGTGAAAATGCTGACCTAGGTTCAACTAAAATAAGGACAATTTATTGCAGATTGTATGGGCTAAATTAATCTTTCTGTAATTCAGCTGATTAAGTGAAGTTACAGAGAGATACCGTTGACTGTATATGGTTAGTAAAATCCTGTGAAACACGGTTATAAATCAGTAATCCTAAAAATGACCTAAGAGAGCTGTCAAATTGGCCAAATAAACAAACTTGTTAAAATAACCACACTGCATCAATCTATGTTAAATAAAAACCAAATAAATAAATTTACTTTACATTAAGATTTAGTAGCAGCCTCCCAAATACCTAAATTCAAAAGTAATCGTGATTTAAGGGTATCATGGTAATAAACAGTTGAGAATATTAGAAGGATTGGATTGCTGTGACTTGAGGATATTAACATTACTCTTCAGATATTTTAAATCCAGGATGAGTGACTGAAAGCTTAAAGGCCAGTACTATGTTAATGGGGAAGGGAGGGAAATGAGTGAGGAGAGGATAATTTTAAAACTGCGCAATTGTAAATATGCACATTTAACAATATTTAACCACCTCTGCTACTATTACTGAAGTTAATCTCTTGTTGAATTTCACAACTTTTTTTAATGCATCAACCTTCTGTAAGTTTTTTCTGACCTGACCCAGGATTGGAATGGATTCCAATACAAAACCTTTTTAAAGCATTTAAGTTGTATGTATTACAAACTAATAAAATAATTGTGAAGCTATTTACTCAGGCTTATTTTCTTTTATAAAACATTGAAAGTTGTTTTATGGCATAATAGCTTATTTTAAGTGTTGAGAGACAAGGTGGGGGAGGTAAGAGCTTTTATTGGACCAACTTCTGACAGTGAAAGACAAATTTTCCTTACACAGAGTTCCTCTTCAGGTCTGTTTTATATCATATCAAGTTAATACTTTAAATCTGATTTAGATAGAATGAAAAATCAATTGTGAGTGATTTACTGTTCATAAACTCTCTAGAACTGCAGTATTCAAACTGGATAGTTTTGCCTACACTGAATTTTTCAAATTAGCTTTTATTTAACTCTGTGGCTAAAGTTCTTAAGTATTTCATACCAGAGTGATATTGGTATATATTACCATTATGGTGGAGTAAATAACACCATTGTTAAGGCTGTGTTTCAATTTTGTTTTATATCTTACTTACTTACACAGTTAATATATTATTTCCATCCAATTGACAAAGTCACCAGCTTATTCCCATCAGAGTCATTATTGTTTCCTTACTTCATATTAGGCAAATCTACCAGACTGTCTTACAAAACCTAGTAATGTTCCTTAAACTGAACCTTAATGAGCAATATTAACTCCACTTCTATCCAGTGCTGTGAGGAGAGCGTTGAATTTAATCAGCCAACTTATTTCTTTATGTATGAAACATTTTACCCTCTTCGGTTACTCTGCTTAGGAAATCCCTAACAGCCTCTTTTTAGATATATTTAAAAAAACGCCCTGGAACTATTCTGAAGCATGCAGGGTGTTGTAATTTCAGTTTGCAAAGCGGTATGATACAATGTTGCTGAGCAGAAAAGCGCACGATAGATTTAATGTAGCCAATTGTGTACTTTTGAAAAAAAGAGTAACTGTTCAGTGTGAGTTAATTTTGGATTTTTTCAGCATCTCTCTTTTAGGCTTTGTGCTGCATTCTTCTAGACAAATGCGTATTCCATGTGGGCCACTGTTCTGCTAAATGCTCTCAGTTCTCCCTTTGCAATCAAGATTATGTTGCTAAGGAGATTTTGCTTTTATTGGTGCCATTGATTTGTGTTAATACGTTTTGAATACCTCTCGGTATTCTTCCGTAGACAAGGCCAAAAGAAAAACTTCCCCGAGTTTCCCGATTTACATTACAAATGGAGCGGTGGTGTAATGAAGCCGATATAAAGTGGGCAGTTGAAAGGGAACTAAAGAAGGGCACTCAAGTGAGAAATGAAGAAATGTGCCGAGTGCAGTCTGCGGGCCGCCTTCGGCCCAGCTGCAGGAACTGGCTCATCAGGCCCGAGGGAGCAGAGCGAGCGCCTCCCTCCGCACAGACCACCCACTCGCTGCTCTCCGGGGATTACCTCACTGCGCACAGCGCTGCTCTGCCGGCCGGGGCACGCTCGCTCAGCGCCGCAGCTGCCCCTAGGGGTCCCCCAGCCAGGCCGCTCGGCTCCCCGGGCTTTTCCCGGCCTCGCCCTGGGAACAACCTTAGCGCTGCCTGAGGGCGTTTGTCTTGGCGGGTGCCCCCTCATGCTGCTGGGCAGCTTCAGTTCGCTCTCGGGTGGGGCGCAAAGGATCGGCTGTGGCCGGCGTGGCACCTGTTGTGAATGCCAGGGCAGGAGGCAAACGGGGAGACGGCTCCCGCGGTGTGCCGGTGCTTTCCATTAGAAAACGTGGATTCGTGTCCGACCCCCCCACCCCGGCCAGCCAAACCCCGCTGCCTCGGGCCTAATAAACAGTGAGCTGACTCACTACTGCAGCAGCCGTGCTACAAAGCGGCTCCCCTTGACACAGCTCCTCTGACGCCTGCAAAATCAGGAGCTGAGGGAGGGCCCCACCGGCTCCCGCTCCTCCCAAGAGGAGTGTTGCCAGAGGCTTGAGCAATTTGAAGGCAAGTGCTCATCGGCACGTGATAAACTGGGGCCTCTTTAACGTTTGCACCGAACCATCAAACCCCCCAGGCGAGTCGGTTTTGGAAAAGAAACGGTGGTCGCAACTCGTTCCTGTGCGAGCAGGATCGGTGCACGGTGTAGGGCATCGCTGCAAAGGTAGGACCCGGTCAGATCTGGGACAGAGGGTGTTCCCTCCCCCCCACTTTCAGCCTTATCGTTATCTGTCAAAGACCTGCTGGGCGAAGCGGGAGTTGGTTGGGGTGATGGCGCTGCCAGGCAGCACTGCTAAAGGCGGACCAGGCACGTGTGAAAACTACCACGGTAAACACCGCATTGGCGGACAGGCACTAGGTATGTCGTCAGGATCTAAGCCGTCAACGCAGTTTCTAACCCGATGCAACCAGAGGACTGAAAATGGATGTTTAGTATTGATGCTAAAAGAGAAGGAGTACTTGTGGCACCTTAGAGACTAACCAATTTATTTGAGCATGAGCTTTCCTGAGCTACAGCTCACTTCATCGGATGCATACTGTGGAAAGTGTAGAAGATCTTTTTATATACACACAAAGCATGAAAAAATACCTCCTCCCACCCCACTCTCCTGCTGGTAATAGCTTATCTAAAGTGATCGCTCTCCTTACAATGTATAGGATAATCAGGTTGGGCCATTTCAAGCACAAATCCAGGTTTTCTCACCCCCCTGCCCCCCCCCCACAAACCCACTCTCCTGCTGGTAAGAGCAATAATATTACAATATTATATTATTACAATAGTATTACAATAGTAATAGTATTGATGCTGTTTGTCCCATCAGGTCTCCAGGCATTTGTGCTCCCTTCCTTCCTTGTCCCTCGTCACATCAACTTGTTTCTTTTTCTCCTTCCAAAATGTGCACAGCTGAGGAGCAACTTGACCGTTTTTAAATATTTGACCATCATGTACACAGTTGGCTTGCTCATCTTTTTTAGGACTATGGGCTATGCTGTAGCTCATGAAAGCTCATGCTCAAATAAATTTGTTAGTCGCTAAGGTGCCACAAGTACTCCTTTTGTTTTTGCGGATACAGACTTACACGGCTGCTACTCTGAAACCTGTTGTTAGCAGTGAGTGTCTCACTGCCTTTGCTTCTGCCAAGAAATTAGTACAAAAATGCAATTAATTAGCAATTCACTTTGTAAACATTCACCAGGCAAACAGTTTGTTCTGCTACGGAAACCGCAAGGCTCAAGCTCCGGGTTAGGTTTTGGTTTATTTTATTGTTTTGAAGGGGGGTTTCAAAGGAAGGAAACAAAATGTAACCCCGCTTTCTGAGAAAATGAGCCATGCTTGCTTCTACTAACCCTGCTGACCAAAGGAGTTTGATACAGCCAGATCAGAGAACCAGAGTCAGTAATACCCTGTGAGCAGCCACAGCCCAAGAGCTCATGCTAGGCTAGAAAAATGTCCTCATTTTTTCAAATGTACAATTGTTTACATTGTGTTAGATGTCTTACAAACTGAAAAAATGAGCATTTTCACCCTGAATATCAATCCCTCTCTTTAGGGATATCATAAGTGCAATAAAGCAGTGAATATGTGCTGGTTGAGTGACTTCATTACCTTTCACTTCCTTATGAAGGTGATGATAGCCATAGTACTGATGGTGTCTAAGTGTCTGTAGTTAAAGAGAGAGAGAGCAATTTAGCTCTAGTCCATACTATTTCCATGCATTCTGCTTTTCCAGAAGGCTGTAGAAAGAATGAAAAATAAAACTTCCCCTCCTTTTGAAGATTTGGTACTAACGCATCAGATCTTCAACTATTGAAGTGAAAACATTTTTGTAACAAGCATATTTCATTCCTGAATTAATGGGAGCAGGTAGGAAATCCAATAGCCAAGCCTAGTTGTAGATGTTACAGCATTCTATATAATAGAACACTTTTTCTTCTTCCCTACCTCTTATAGCAGAGAAAGCTTTTAAAATTATTTATGCCTTTCTGCACAATTCAAAGAAAAAAGCCCAGTTTCAAAAAGGGAAATCACAGTGGCTGTATAGCAGTAGCACTGTGAGAACTCCTTTAACAGACCCCCCCCCCATTAGTAACAATTGAACAATATTTTGCGCTTTCATTTAAGAAAGTCAAAATACTTAATAACATAACAACGGCCATACTGGGTCAGACCAAAGGTCCATCTAGCCCAGTATCTTGTCTTCAAACAGTTGCAAATGCCAGGTGCTTCAGAGGGAATGAACAGAACAGGTAATCATCAAGTGATCTATTCTTAGTTTCTGGCAAACAGAGGCTTGGGACACCATACCTGCCCATCCTGGCTAATAGCCATTGGTGGACCTATCTTCCATGAATTTATCTAGTTCTTTTTAGAACCCTGTTATAGTCTTGGCCTTCACAACAGGGGCCATTTAGGGATTTGGGTCAGAAATGAGGGATTGGTCCTGCTTTGAGCAGGGGATTGGACTAGATGACCTCCTGAGGTCCCTTCCGACCGTGATATTCTATGAACCTCAACAAACGTGAATGAAGCCTCACTTCAACTCCGTTATGCCCAATATACTGTTGGGTTAGCTGAAGTCAAGTGATGTTAAGTGAGTTGTGGGCACAAAGGACATCAGTAGCAGAGCCAGGAAGGAGAACCCAGCTCTCCTGAGTCTTAGTCCCACATTCTAGTCACTAGATCAATTCCTTCCCAAAATAATTCAGACAAGCTGTTTTTCTGTTTTTAAGCTTACTAATTATTTTCTAAGAAGTCCAATAATTGTTGCTTAATTTGAACTAAATTAGCTTAGAGGCTTAAAAACAGTGTAGTCTTAACAAATATGAATTTTTCCAATATAAGTTGTATGTATTTCATATACAGTTTTACAGATCACAGGTGACTCACTTCACGGCACTGTTCCCTCTAAGCTGTGCGCGTGCGCACGCAGATCCTAAACCCCGCGCACATGGCGAAACACCATGCATACAAAACTTTGCACAGAAGCACAAAAGAAATTTTTTGCACACACAGCCTGTCAAAAATTGGCACAGAAGGAATTTTTTGTGCAAACGGCCTGTCAAAAATTAGAGGGAACATTGCTTCACAGTATGTTGTACCAAAAAGGAAATAGAGAA